TTAGTATTGTAGGGTTTATATTTACTTTAACTAACATTTATTTTAAGTTTAAACTATCTTTCCTGTCAATCCTTACTTTCCCCTGGAACTGCCAATGCCAGAATATGTAAATTTGAGTAGAACGCGCAAGCATTCAAATTATCAGCGGAAGTAGTATGATTTAAATAGAAGGAAACGAGTTCGGTGAGAGAGTTATTCTTACTTAGCGAGCGCGGAGGTAGAAATCGAGAATTGAAGAACCCCGCGTTGCGGCCTATGTGCTTGGCGGGAAGTAGTTGCAATTGTTCCAGTGAGCTTCAAGTCTGCTGAATTAGCTGCGGTATTTGTAAAACGCGGTGAGTTAGTTATTTTAGAGAGCCTCGTAGTTAGAATATTGTCTTTACTTTCTTTTCAGGTTTTTATTTTTATTTGACTGCCTAGTTGGCACAGTTTGTAAGCGTCAAGAGGACGCAATTGTAATTTAGTACGTTGAATAAAAAGGGACTTAAACCCTTTACAAGACTCTGTGGTTTATACAAGCTTTCACAGTCACCTCTTGGTTGCGTGCAAGTTAGAGGCGCGCAACGTTATATTGGCGCCCGAACACTTATCGAACTGAAATGGCCGAAAACTGGATGGAAGCCGCTGGACAACACCAAGAAATGACAACGCAGTTAGAAGGATTTGGATACCTGGTCCAGACTTTGAGAGCATCAATCAAGCCAAACGTCTATTTCGACGGAAAAAATTCGGTGTCCGTATTTTTAGAAGGTATAGAAAACCACTTTCAGCTCTATCCTGTGCCTGAAAGACAAAAAGTTGCTATCGCCACATCAGCACTAAGAGGACAGGCCGCGCTATGGTGGGAAAATATAGGAAAATTTCTACTAGGTGAATTTGGAAGCCCGACGTATACATTTGAAAATTTCAAAAAATCGTTAGTAAAGGCCTTCCCCATAGTGAAAGATCGCGCACGGCTGGAAGCCGAGCTATATAGTTTTTTTCTATCAACGGGATACAGCACAATTGACGGACTTTATTTTACGAAAAATCAAGCTAACGGATATGCTGTATGGCAAGAAACCCGATGCGGAGATTATTGAAATAATATTACCAAGATTGTTACCCGCTGTCCAAGACTACTTTGAAATTAGAAACCCAACCACATTGCAGGAACTGTTCGAATTGGCGGAGAAGTTTCAAAATCGCAGAATCGCGGAAAGAGCGAGAGGGAAAACATATTCTCAAAGTACCAGAAGGAAGGAGGAAACAAGAAATGGAAATCGCTCATATGGGGGAAAGAACTATCAAGCTAACGCATCGAAACTCGAAGGTCAAGGCCCAAAAAGGAAATTTGAAAATAAGCATCCGCGTACCCAGAAGACACAGATTGAAAGGAAAGCTTTAAACGACTAGAGGGGCCTGTGAAAGGGAGGGTCCAGACCCCGGAAGTTTTAGAAAAAAACCCTCAAATAGACATATAAATACAGTCATCGTAAAAAACTCACAGCTACCAATTATACAAGTCCTGGTTGGCGATGTACCAGTAGAAGCCCTCATCGATACAGGAGCAGAAGGAAATTTCATGAGTGAAAAGTTCTTCAAAAAGAATTTTTATAGGATACGACTCTTTAAAACCAGAAATACGGAAATTATAGCGGCGCAAGGAAAAACATGTCACTGCATCGGGAAAGTATCATTAAACATAGAGGTAAAAGAGGAAAATCTCAAAGTATTAATTTTTGTGGTGAAACACCTCCAACACTCTCTTATTTTAGGTATGGACTTTTTAAGGGCCGCGAGGGCCAAATTAAATTTTCAAGATAGTTCCGTGGTGCTGGAGATGGACCAGAGGTGGTGGAACCGGTGGAGACACCTGAATTGGACCTTAGCCATTTGAATGACCAGGAAAGTAAAGCAATACAGCAAGTGGTGAGTAATTTTTTCTCATTTGTTTTCAGAAAAACCGGGAAACTGTCAGATCGTGACTCACAAGATTCAATTAAATGCCGAAAAACCTTGTAGGACTAAACCTTACCGCTATGACAAACAAAAAGACGTAATCATCGAAGAACATATTCAGGAGATGTTAAAGAATAAAATAATAACGCCCATAAATAGTGAGTACGCGAGTCCAGTCGTACTATGTAGGAAAAAGAACGAGTTTCCTCCTTCGGATAAAAGGGCTTGGAGGTTTGCTATCGATTATAGAAAACTAAATAGCATAACTAAATTTCCAGTTTACCCTTTGCCGGTTATAGACGAGATCATTAGACAGATCAAATCGACGAGATATATGTCTACTTTGGACTTAACGTCTGGCTACTATCAAATAGCTATGAGACCCGAAGATATACATAAAACCGCGTTTATAACAAAATCGGGCACTTATGCATTTTTACGCATGCCTTTTGGGTTGTGTGGGGCCCCATCAACATTCCAGAGAGCTATGGACATTGTTCTAAAGCCTGTCCTAGGAAAATCAACTTTAATTTATCTAGATGATATAATTATAACGAGTAGTACGTTGGAACAACACATTAATGACCTCGAACAAGTTTTTAAATTATTAAAAGAGGCCGGTCTTACAATTAACGCCTCAAAATGCAAGTTCGCAACTAAAGAACTTAAATATCTCGGTTATAAAATTTCGCAAAAGGGTATAGAAACGCAAGATTCAAAAATAAAAGCTATTAAGAATTTCCCACCGCCCAACACCGCCAAGAAACTTTCGTCTTTCCTTGGACTATGTTCTTACTATCGATCTTTCATAAAAGATTTCGCTAATATTGTTGAACCACTCTTAGTAATCAAAAGAAAAAAGAGTAAATTTACGTGGACAGCGGAAGCGAAACACAGCTTTTGAAAGATTAAAAGAAGCGCTTATTAATGCCCCTGTTTTAAAATTCCCTGAGGGGACGAAAACCTGGAAATTGCGGCAGATGCATCAGACTATGCGGTGGGTGCGGGTTCTTATGCAAAATAACCATCCGCTGGCATTTTTTAGTAAAACATTGAATCAAACACAAAGGAATTATACAGCTACAGAAAGAGAAACATTAGCCGTATTAATGGCTGTACACAAATTTCGAGTTTATTTCGGCAAATCGCCAGTAACAGTCTTTTCGGATCATGCGGCTGTTGGTAGACTTTACTCGGGAAAAAAACCTAACGCCCAGGTTAATAAGATGGGCTTTAAAACTCCAAGAATATAATATCACAATAAAATATAAACCGGGTAAGGAAAACAATGTAGCTGACGCACTTTCTCGTATAAAACTGGACGATGAAGGTAATGAACTTAAATGCGCTGTGTTGACTTCAAAAATTTTAGATTCTAGAGATACGGTTATTACTGAACTGAAAGCTGATCCTGAATTTGGAAATATCTATGCTTATTTGAAAGACCCCGAAAGCTTTGAGCACACAGATATCGATGCGATAAGAAATAGAGCAAAAAACTATGAAATAATAGATAATTTATTATTCTATACGAAAACAACGAACGAAAATCTTGAGTATAAGCCAGTCATCCCAGCCTCGCTTCGATTAAGCATTTTGAAGGAGTTGCACGAAAAAAAAAACAGCGGGCCACCTCGGGGTCAGAAAGACTTTAAAAAGGGTACGCGAGGCGGTACACTCTAAATTTCTCAGAGTGAGATTTGAAGCGTGACAGCAATTTTCGCTCCGTTTCGTGTTAAACAAGGCAAGTTTACTGTTTTGGTAACAGAACATATTTTTCCACTTGCAAAATGACCTTGGAGAAGGGAGTGAGTTAAGGGGAAGAACGACTTCCGGTCGTGCCCCTACCCTCGCAGAGTGACCATTGCAGTTTTGCTGAGGCGCTATTTTAAGTGAGGACAGTTGTCTACATCGTAACAATGAACGCAGCTCCTCTGCCAAAAGTAAGTTTAGTTTTAAAATATATATACAATTATTTCTTAATAGAACTATCTTACTTATCATAAATTATAGTCTTATATTTTAGATTTATGTGTAAAAATTGAAGGATGTAATGAAAAGGAGTTTTAGTTGGCTCTTTTTTTAGGTAAATTTGCTTTAAGAGTGTAATGCTGTAACTTCGTTTTATTTATTACGTACTGTTAACACAATAAAAGCTATATATATGGATGGTACTTTTTGTAAACACTTCTTAAACAATTTACACAACACTATCGACTTTAATTATTCAAATTCAGTTTCGCATGCATTCCTAATTCGAGTACGAAGAACAGCGGTGGGGGAAAAAAAATCCATACTATAGAGTTTTGATTTTTTATAACACAAATTATTTGTTAGAATTGCAAGAAATAAAAACCGTATACTTTACTGAATTCTCTGTTAAAGTCATATCGTTTTCAGCTTATAGCAGTTTTTCATTGATTTTTAACTTCTTTTTTTTTATAAATTCTGCTTATAGTTTGTAAAAATAAAATTCACTTACTGTTGCAAATCTGAATTTTTACAAAGTATAAACACTAGCACTACCTGTGTCATATCAGCATTCTAACACTTATATTTTTGCAAATGTATTATTATTCTCGATAGTGTAGGTGTAGCTCATATGGTCTCCTCGGTTTCTTTCACTGATGTTCAAAATTTATTTGCATGTGTCATTTTTTCTCAATTTATTATTATTTTGTCTGATTTCCATACTATGTTTTCTAAAAGTGATTTGAAAGTGTTTGCAAAGAAAATTTAGAAAACTGCATACTCGAGTTCTTGTTTCGGCATGAAATGAAATACAACGGTTAAGATACAATCAAAGATATTTTAGAATTCTGATTAAAGAATGTGTTCTTCTAAGGTAATGGGTTGCCAAAAAGTTTCTTAATGTTACAGTTTTGGGGCCAATTTTGAGAAAATGGGGAAAGGCTAAATTGATTTCAGTTACTAACATTTATTTTATGTAATTTACTCTTATGTAATTTTTACTTACGTATGCTTAATATTATGTTTTTTAATGTTCATTTAAATTTATATGCGCTAAATATAATGTTTCACAGGCTAATTTTTATTTATAAATGCTTAATATCATGCTTTTTCTCCGAGCATTAATGCACATCTCCTAAATATTGACCACCAGCGGACGAACAGTAAAGTCGCTGTAATCTGGTAGTTTGGTCCTGGGTTCGAATCACGTGAAGGGACTAGCTGCATGGGCGTTTTCATTGTTTTCCCCATGTGCAACATGTATACGAACCAATTTCCCTTAGAAAGACCTCCACGAAGGCATCCTTCCCCTTACACAGATAGTCCTTGAGGCTTTGCAATAAGCACACACACATTCTAATATCATACTTCTTCTCCTAATATACATTTATATGCAATAAATATTATGCGTTTTTGCCTGCCTATAAGCTTAATAATTTTCTTTCTACTTAACATTACTGTTGAAACTATTCCCGATTAGCCACGAACCCACCAGCGGCCGCGCGGTAAAATCACTGTAGTTCGGTGAAATCCTGTGAGGTTTAAATCTCGGGAACAGGTTGGTTGGAAATTTAAAAAATTTCATCCCTTTTTTTTTTTTTTTTTTTTTTTTAATGAAACAAATCTTAAACAGCTAAGGTTGCTCATTTAAAACTTTTATTACTTAAAGTTAAGAAAGGTAGTTTATAGATTTCTTTAAAGACTAAGGGTAGGAACTTCTTAAACTAGAAACCATATTAAGAGAAATGTTTATCTTATCAAATGCATTACAAGCACATATAATTTTCATTATACGTACTTTTAATGTCATAATTTGTAAATGGACATAATGAATCGATAAAATAATTATTATCAATTGAGCGCACAGCGAAAGTAACAAAAATTATTTATTGATGCTGGTAATTAACCAAATTAATTAAAAAATACCTTGTTAATTTACTAGACACGTTTTTGGGAATATAATCTGTCTTAATACTTTTAAATATACATATAAATATCTAATTTCCGCTCTTAAGAAAATTTAGTTATGACTCAAAATTTTGAAGTTCCATTTAACATATCATTTGATTTATCTGTGATTTTGTAATGTAAATAAATCGTAATATTTATGAGAATAAATTAATATCATATATAACCACTGTTAAATCTATTGAAATTGTTTATTACACAGAATTAATTTCAAGTTTTTAATATTTAAAGATAAGAATTAGTAAAATTTTATATAAATGAAACAGTTATTCAATAATTTTTTAAAGATTTCTTTCCTGTTTTTTCTAAGTAATTTTGTCCCCTTATAGTTTTGAATTTGCTGTTCTTTCACCTTGTCTGTCATTCTGCGCTATATTGCACTGATTGATATTTAGTTGTCATTAAAATTTAGGAAGAATGTTATACTATATATTTCTTACAGAAGAAGGCGTCATTGGGTTGACGTTTCCTGATATCACAGATGACTTGAAAGAAATGAACATAAAATTAGGGCCCAGAAAGCATATTATGCAAATTGTGAATAGAATAAGGGTAACAATATATTTTCAATAATGGAATAACAATGAAGGATAATTTTATATTATTATCTGAAACGTCATTTTCTTTTTAGTGCCCATCAGTTCAAGCGGTTGCTTCAATACCATCAGATGAAAAATGCACTGAAAAGGTCTGTCAAGATGCAAGTGCCATTTCTCCACAGAATATACAAAGAAAAGAGGTGTCTTTAGACATATCCAAAATATATAACCAGTGTATTTCAAACAAGGTAATAAAAGTTGTCTTTTAATTTTAATTATGTAAAAGAACACGTTGTGATTTATTAGTCGGTTATTACAATTTTCTCAATTTTTTCAGGATTCTTTTGATATCAGAAAGTGGGTCAGCAGTCACCCACAAGGCAAACAGCTCTGTGACAACTTGGATAGGGGTTCCTACAAGACTGAAGACAGGCAGCTGCTAGTTAGGATAGTCTGTTCAAAATTAGTAAACTTATGTGGAACTGTGTAAGTTTTTTTAGTGAACTTGAATATATTTTCATTGATTTAAGTCTAGAAGGTATAGATACGTTCTGAAAATTAAGAAAATATTTTATTTTATATGAATTTCAAGAATTTTCCATTAAATTATTTTTTTTTTTAGCTACCCATCCTCAGAATGGAAGGAACGTACTGCAGAGGCATTAGTAGATGCATTTCCATTGTTAAAATCAAAAAGATTCCCACATGGGCATGTAAGTGTTCTTTAATTTTCAAAAAATTACTTTAAAACATGTTATCTAGTTATGTGATGTGTATTAATTTATGTGCAGGAAAGCTTCTATGATAAGACCACAGGAATAAGCTTTATAGAATAGGCCTGAAAACGCTTAGGAAGTCCATCAAAGAAAAAAAGGATTAGCCAAAACTTCAAAAATCTGCAGAATAGAACCATCTCTTGAAACAGAACGTTTGACTAAAGAGGATTTAGAAGAAAAGGTTTTTTTTCAGCTTTCGTAAAATTCATATTCATAACATTTTAAAATATTTCTATGTTATAAATATTTCATCTATACTTAAAGAAAATGTTTGAAAATTAGTGCATATAAATTTTTTGTTATAGATAATGTGGATGAAATTTAAAAATCCCATAGAACCCAATAGACAGGCGATTTCAGATATATTGTCTGAAACAATGGCTGACAGACAAACTGAAATAAGAGATTCAGGCATGACCATAACAGATGTTTTAGAGAGATATCCCAGGCTACAAGATTATAGAGGAGATATGGTAAGAAATTTAGCTAATTAATTTTCAGTTAGTAATTGCACTTTAAATTTACATATACGCATAGTGTATATTGGTGATCTTTAAAATGTGTCGAGCCAGGAAATTAAAATCAAAGTTTCAGCATAATCAATTCAAAGAATTTCAGTTCAAAATCATTTTTCAGCATTATGTTAAAACACATAAGTTCTTGTAATAATTTTCATTCAGGATATGCTTGGTTTAAGAAACTGAACCATTAACCACATGCATTCAGTTTTTAAAATCAACATTTTTATGAATATGTACTAGATAACCTATTTTTGATTTTTGTATAAACTTACTGGAAATTATGTTGTGTTTGCAGATTGATGCAGAATTTTTACGCATGCATCCCAATTCAGACACTTTCTTGGGAAAGTTTTCATCTTTTTATGTCCCAAGAATTTTGAGATATGCTGAATCAAAACGGCCTGATCTTCTGGTACCAAGTATTGCTGATTTCAGTGGTAAAGATCTTTAAAAATTTAACTAGGATTATAAATCATATAATACTTTAAAACTTTTTTACGTACTGTTTTAATTACCTAAAGTAATTTTTTATCTATTACTTGCATTGGTCATTCTTAAATGGCTTATAAAGTTTTTTCTTCTGGCTTGTAAAAGTAAGCTGTAAATCCATGTACCTCTAGTACCAAAGGCCTTTTTAATGATATTTTTGTAATCCTTATGTAATAAAAGTCTGTGTATTTTTTTCATATATATAGATGATCTAAAAGCATTAGTTTTGCTCCCAGAACTTTTGCCCAGCCCAAATTATGGTAAAGGAAGAGGGAAAAAGGTAAAAAAAAGGTCTCATTCATTATTAATGAGTAAATACTTGGCATAAGTCTATGCATAAAAAATAATTTCATATGCTTAGCTAAAATTCTTTTAATAGGATAATATTTTTAGTTTGTAGTGTATGTGTATGCAAATAAGCTATTGATACTATATGTAAGTGAATTGAGCTGCATATCCTTTGAACTTTGCTACATTTTCTTTCTTGAAAGGTTCATGTGTGATATTTATGTAGCTTCAATTAATAATTACATTTCACATGCAATTGTTATCCAGTTTATGTCTTTTATATATATATACTTTTATTTTTATTTCTGTAGAGTAAAGGCAAAACAAGTATTTTGGCATCAGGCTGTTATTTACAAAAAAAAAACATTCCAAATTCTGCACTTCTAATATTTGCTAATGTAAGTATTTATGAGTTTTGTATGTTTTGCACTTTCATTTTAAGAGGGCAGATCATATTTAAACGAGCCATTTTACAACAGTGAATGTATTTGGCCTCACGTGGCTAAAATTCATGTTCTCAAGCTGCTTTCAACTGTTGTACCCACAGATGATGCATCGTCATTTAGCTAATTTTTGTAGAATTGAAATGGCATTGATTTGAATGTCACCTACATACTAGCAAATATTTCGAGAGAATAAGAAGGTTTGTATTATGTGTGATGTCTTTGTATCATCTAAAGCATGACAGTAATCATTTCTATGGATGTATCATATAGTGAACATAGATTTTTTTTTTTTTACTTGTATAGTGTTGGAGAAATTGCTTGAATTTCAAAAAGTAATTCCAGTCAGACTAGGGCAATTATGAAATCAAGAACAAGCATCATAGTTTAATATGAAGAAATGATATTTGGTTTCATAAGAATAAGCCAGACTAATTCTCCATATTCTTTGTTCTTTTTACATTATTTATTACACTTTTCATGCAGAAGCAATGCACAAATAGCAGTATGCATTACTATCCTATTCTATATTTGCATCAATATAATACTTAAATATTCCTATATGTTTTGATACTGCACTTTTACAGAAACTAAAAGCAAAAGGCCTCTATGTGCATAAAATTACTTGAGTAGTATTTTTGTATGAAGAAAAAAATTTTCTGGCAATATTTTTTAATTGGAAAGATAAACTTTCTAATATGGATAATTGGTATTTGACTTGCCCTCATAGGTATGGATGTATTCTTAATGAAGAAATTTATTTTCAGGGAATAGAAGACATGGAGTCTCTTGAACCAGGGCAGAATAAGCAACCGATTCTAGTGTGCATTTCAAATTCATTTTACATTAAAGCAGATAACAAGTTAATAGCATGTCCAAATCACGCCATGAAGGCATTCGACATTTTATTTAAATCCCATTTCGTATTTAGTGTGCAATATGCACATGTATTAACAAATTTTTACAATTTTATGGGAAGTTTTTTATACAATATAAGCACTCCTAGAGCATGTGTGGACTCGTTAAATACATGTTTCAGCAACATAGCTATTGAGTAAAAATTTATTGCATTTTTAATATTTTTATTATATTATTATTATTGAGTAAAAATTTATGTATGTATAATATGTTTCTTAATAAAGAGTTTTTCATGTATTGCTTGTTTTCATTTATTTTTAAATTACTTTGTTCATGGAAATTATTATAATTCTGCAGATTAATGATTTCTACTCATATTTAACCAATCAATAAAGTACATATTAATTTTCAGCAGAATTATGAAACATGAATGTTTATCTTACACATGTGAGCTAATCCATATTATTTCACTTTTACTTTATTCTTTCCACATGAGACTTCGAATTGGAATTAACATATATAAAAATAAGTTTAGTCTAAAAGTATATGTAAACAATTATTCACCTATAATGATTAATGTATAGGAATTTGTATGCATATAACTTCTCAAAAGTAAAAAGTGTTGTAAGCTAACTGAAGATAAGCTTTATTCATAATTTGGGGTTAATTAATTTTAAGTTCTTAATGATTTTGTAATAAGAAATAGAAACAATTCTTTTGCAGTATATGAAGTTAAAAACAATAGCATGAGAGTATTTTATGGTTACTAATTTTCTGAATCTCATACATTGCAAATAAAGCTGAATAATTTAGGGAAATTAAATTCACATTTTTTTCTTATTTCAATGTATATTAAAATTTATTATTCGATATTTTTATGCATATTATGCTCAAGTCGACAAAGTACTAGTAATATCAATTCACAAATTGTATTATTAATATATTCACTTATAAGTAGCATTTAAAGAAGTTGAATCTATCAGAATATAATACAGGTTTACTGAGACATATATATATACATGATCAGCTGTTTTTAACACATTCAAATTTTCATTATTATAAAATTTTTCAAGAAGTATTTTTGATAAATTACATTTCCAAATATTGCGATTATTTAATTTAAAATTTAGCTTACAATTTACATGATTATGTGTTCTAATCTTGTGAATAAACATAATTTGTTTTTTAAAATTAAAATATGTATACAAAATTTAGAATATATATCACTATACATATATGATTCATCTAAAATAATTTTTTGATTTCTCAAACCAAAGTTTGAAAATTTCTGAAATATTTATTCAAAGATTTAAGTACCTGAAAAACCTTTTTTATTCAAATACCAAGCTTTAAGTGCGAATATCTTGCTATTCCAGTTTTTAAGTTGCTTTGATTTTAATATTGCTTTTTTATTGCTTAGTATACATAAAGGCAAGAACCATGTTTCTGTAAAATAAAATATATTCTGTGAATTTAAAGTAATTTCATATCAGAAGTACTGTGAGAAAGTGATAGTGTTATTTCAGAATGTTAAATATTGTAACATGACACCGAATTTCCAATATTTTAATGTGGATGTAATATTTTGATATATATATATTTCGCTAGATTTGGAAAGAAAAACTATATGTCCAAATAAAGAAGATATGATTATCCTAAAACAATGATTTTTATTTCAGTGATGGTCTACTTTGATTCATAATCGTCTTCATGACCAATAAATGTTTTTGTAAGTACATAGGTAGCAAATCTAAAACAGCAGATATTTAAAGTCACAATATAGCATGTTAAAAAGTAGTGTAAAACATTTTTTCAAGATAATATTAACCAGAAATCTAAAACTTTGCCTCAGCCATAAATTTTACATAGCAAATACCAATTTTCAGTTTGCCAATAAAACAAATGTAAAATAATTATATAAAAATCGCACCATCAAGGAGTGAGCAGACTATTATGACTCCTTGTAATGTGTGTGGTTTCACCTGAATATCGGGCGGTATCTCGCTATCGGCAAGAGTGAACGAAAAAAGAGTCACTCCTTTTTTTGTGTGAGAAGGAACCACTTTTTATTAGAGTGAAAAGTCGCTCTTTTGAGGTTGGTGCCATTTTGGCATTAGAGGGAGGTGAGATGTCACTCTTTTGGAGTCGGATACAACTCTTTCGAATTTAGAGTGTATGTTTCCGTCCTATGCTTTTGACTTCACCGCCAATCGAGAGTTCGGGTTCTTGGGTTCTAATTCATATCTTGGAAAGGGTAATTTGTAAATTATTTCATAATCCGCATCGGTCTGCCATACACATATCGTACTATTTTTGTAAATAAAGCCGTCAATGTGTTATCCGTTGATAGAAACCTATATAGCTCGGCTTCCAGCCGTGCGCGATCTTTCACTATGGGGAAGGCCTTTACTACGATTTTTTGAAATTTTCAAAAGTATACGTCGGCTTCCAAATTCACCTAGAAGAAATTTGCCTATATTTTTTCCACCATAGCGCGGCCTGTCCTCTTAGTGCTGATGTGGCGATTGCGATTTTTTGTCTTTCAGGCACAGGGTAGAGCTGAAGTGGTTTTCTATACCTTCTAAAAATACGGACACCGAATTTTTTCCGTCGAAATAGACGTTTGGGCTTGATTGATGCTCTCAAAGTCTGGACAGGGTATCCAAATCCTTCTAAACTGAGTTGTCATTTCTTGGTGTTGTCCAGCGGCTTCCATCCAGTTTTCGGCCATTTCAGTTCGATAAGTGTTCGGGCGCCAATATAACGTTGCGCGCCTCTAAACCACAGAATCTTATAAAGGGTTAGTCCCGTTTTATTCAACGTACTAATTTACAATTGCGTCCTCTTGAGCTTACAACTTTGCCAACTAGGCAGTCAAAATAAAATAATAACCTGAAAGAAATAAAGACAAGATTAACGAACTACGAGGCTCTCTAAAATAACTAACTCACCGCGTTTTACAAAAGCCGCAGCTAATTCAGCAGACTTGAAGCTCACTGGAACAATTTGCAACTACTCCCGCCAAGCACATAGGCCGCAACGCGGGGTTCTTTAATTCTCGATTTCTACCTCGCGCTCGCGAAGTAAGAATAACTCTCTCACCGAACTTGTTTCCTCTATTTAAATCATACTACTTCCGCTGATAATTTGAAATGCTTGCGCGTTCTACTCAAATTTACATATTCTGGCATTGGCAGTTCCAGGGGAAAGTAAGGCTTGACAGGAAAGATAGTTTAAACTTAAAATAAATGTTAGTTAAAATAAATATAAACCCTACAGTTCTAACATTAGTATTTTGACACTAAATTGCACTTTTCTCAAGTAACGTATCATTTTTTTCCATGTTTCGATTCTACAATTCAAGTTATGCCTATATTAGGCTTTCTCAACCGATGGTACGCAAGAGAAAAATAGGTGGAGCAAAGTATTTTGAACTATTAAATTCAAAAATTAAACCCCAACATCCTGATGGAGTTTCCTTCTCTAACACTTGTAAATTTATGCGATCTGAGCTTTGTTCAAGAGTGGTGGTGGTGGTGGTAGTAGTACTTTGTAGCGGTGGTACTAAAGGTTTTCAATTTTTGTTTAGATGGTACGCGTATAAGGTATTTCTCCCACTTCCCTAGCGTGCCTTCGTAGTGTAACGGTAGCACGCTGGGCCGGTATTCCAGAAGTTCGTGGTTCGATTCCCGGCAAAGGCGTTGTTAATTTTTCATCTTGGCTGCTTCCAAAAAATATCCTAATGTTAAGTTACTACACCCGTTAGTCAAAAGGCTGAGAATCGCTGGCTTAGATGTTAAATTTTGTGATCCTTGGTGAGGAATTTATGGAGAAATTTAAAATTTTATCTTGGCGCATTTTTTTTTTCAGTTTGCGCCAAGAATAAGTCATTGTGGACGTGACGCTAAACCGATTAATCACAATAGTAGAGGAATGTTGCCCACGTCCCCCGTCACTTACTCTTTCATATTAAAATATAAAAGTTATTAATTATTTGGAAATTTCTAAAATACGCAAATGATTTTTGAATAAAAATAAATGATTTTTTTTTTTCATCTTACCTATTGGCATTGCAGAGGGTGACGGCCGGAAACATCAAAGATCCTGCATTCTGAATGTCAATTTGTACAATGGATTGGTATTCCCTGTACTGGACGAGGAAAGATCCAAACTGGTAGAAGAATCCGATGAGGGATCCAAAGAAAATGAAAATCCAGAAACATCTCCTCCGTCTCGTTTTGGCCAAGGCGATATGATTGACACCGCTCACGGAAGAGCTTCCAAACACCTTTCTGCAGTACTCCCAAACGGTTTTGTCTTCGTCTGAATCGGAGCCATCATCTTGTTTCAGAGGAGCCTTAGATCCTTGCAGTTTTCGCTCTGGAAACCAAACTCTTCCATGCGTTGGGCATACTCGGACTGTATAGGCCATTAGCCGGGGCATCGAAGACTTTTGTCAAAGTTTACTCATATACACCTGGGCGGTTTAGATCAAATGACACTATTATAATCATTGTATCTCCTCGGCTTAAGGTATCTGCCTACGTTAAAAACACGATTTCGGCGAAAAAAGGCGATTTTTTTAATTGCCCAATTTGAAAGGTCAGTTTTGTAGGATTCCGAAAATGGTTCATTTTTACGTTTGTGATAATTAGAAGTGAAGATATAGCCAACTAACTGCACTGGAAGTGAAAGCAGAAAGACGGAAGTGCCGTTAAAAGGCTCAACTTAAAGGTAAACAATGGTGTTATCCGTGTTTTTTTTTTTTTTTTTTTTTTTTTTTTTTTTTTTAACCTGTTTGTGTGTTTTTAATTGTGCTAAAACATTTCATTTTAATTCTGGGTACTTTTTTTTCGTTTCTGGCAATAATTATTTGCCTTAATTTTTGAACTGACTGGCACTCGCGGTTTTTTGACTGACTGGAATCGCGGTTTTTGAACATTGCGATTTTTGCTTACATTTGTTCTACTCTTGTTCGTCGTTTCCTACACGCATATTCACGCTTTATTTTTAATGTTTTGAATGACATTTTTTAATGTTTTTAATGACATTAAAAATAAGCCTAATGATATGCCTAATGAACATTTAGGCATATAAATTGAACAAGAAATGATTAAAAATTACTTTGGAATTGATAACGAAAGAATAAAGAACTCGAAACGTCATTCGTCACTCATTTCGAAAATAGCCAGAAAAAAATTAAAATCAAATAGGAAATCAAATTACTTAAGTATAAAGATATGAGTATGTGATGTACAAATGTGAAGAATTTTAAGTGTATAATACAACAGAAACAGT